TTTAATTTAATAAAATGTTTGAGTTTTTAATTTAATAGTAAATGGCATTTGAATTTTTAATATAACTTTATTAGCTTATTAGATATAAACATTTAAAGTTTCAAAATTTTGAGTTAATATACATGTATAATACACATGGGATTGTAAATACAGGTAGCTAATTGGATTTTTATGACATTGCTGTCTCAGTCACGGATTGTTTATTATCAATTATGATTATCAATAGATATACTTTCTGTATTGTCAGTTAGTGTATTTATAAACTCATAACAATGTGCCTTACTACAATTGATAATAACAATGCTGTGTACCTGCTAATATCGATGTTATAAAAAACCAATTAGCTACCTATATTTGTAATCCCTTGTGTATTATACCTGTATATTAATTCAAAAATTTGAAACTTTAAATGATTATATCTAATAAACGAATTAAGTTATATTAAAAATTCAAATGCCATTTACTATTAAATTAAAAACTCAAACATTTTATTAAATTAAAAATATGTGTTACCATTTAAAAAAACAAAGTTGACCCCCTTCCAAGGCATAAGGGATGAACTTAAAAAGTATTACATAGTTAAAAATTCAAGAATAATGTGTAACTAAAAATAATGAAAAAAAAAAAATTTTAAAATTATTATTATTCTGTAAGTAATTGAGTGGGTTATGATAAAAAAATCACCCTGTATAATATTGATTACACGCACGGATGTACGGGTGCGAAAACCAAAAATAAAATTATACAGAAATAGTGTTGTCGGCGTGTGATGAGCGGAGTGGGGGAATGCGTTACGACAGTCTAGTCTCAAAGCCATAGACGACGGAATACTCGAGAATAATAACACGTGGCGCGTGGAGAGTTACAAACGAACATACAGATAAAATTAATATAAGCGTGTTAAATAAATATAGTTTAAAAAACTAAAAAAACACGCTTTTAAAGTACATCGAACTAAAAAGTTAAAAATAATTTTTAAAATAATTATGAACAAAAAATACTAGTATTATTGTGATAAAAGCGTCGGGCGCTCAATATACGAAAAATATGGCACAAAGCACCCACGCTTTTATCACAATAATACTAGTATTTTTTGTTCATAATTATTTTAAAAATTATTTTTAACTTTTTAGTTCGATGTGCTTTAAAAGCGTGTTTTTTTAGTTTTTTAAACTATATTTATTTTTTACTTTTTAGTTTCATGTTATGATAGTAGTTACTATCAATATCATGGTTGTTACGGGTAACGGGAAATCAGGGTTCGATTCCGGGGAGGGAGTCTGAGAAACGGCTACCACATCCAAGGAAAGCAGCAGGCGCGTAAATTACTCACTCCCGGAACGTGGAGGTAGTGACGAAAAATGACGATACGGAAATCATCCCTCGTAATCGGAATGAATACTTTATATCTCTTAATTAAAATAAAGCGTGTTAATAAATAAATTTTAATAGTAATTAGAATATATATATATATACAAGTAAAGCGACTTAAGTACGTAAACGTATCATGCACTAGGTATAACCGTATTTTGTGGGCGGGCGGGTCGGACTAACGTTATACCTGAGGTATAAACGGTGGTAGGAATATATAAATATATATACGTAAGGCGCATTAGACGCGGGCGGTATTGGTCAGTCAAAATAAAAATTTGTTTATATATATATAATATTGATGACAAGCATGCGTGTACGGGTACGATAACTAAGAATAAATTTTTATAGGAATAGTGTGCCGTCTTGTGGTGAGCGAGGCGTGGGGAGGGGTGAATGCGTTATGACAGTCTAGTCTAGACGACGGAATATGCGATAACGCGTGGCGTTTGGAGAGTTACAAACATACATACATACATACATACATACATACATACATACATACATACAGGTGAAACTAATATAAGCGTGTTAAAAAGAAAGGAAAATATTTATTAGTTTGAATATAAAATGACAATATGATAATTGTTGGGTAGAGTGTGGCAATAGTTGATACCCGTCCTCGCGGATCTGTAGCGCTCGTGTATGATCGGTTCGAACGTGTTTCGTGCCATGTTCGGCCGTCGCCCCTTCCTCAACGAGGGTCATAGTTTGTTTTGAACGTAACACAGTACACACGTCTTACGCCTCTAGTAATCGGCAACCATACAATTATTAATCGCTTATAGACATTTTTGATATTGTTCATTATTAGTTTACGGTCATTATAAGTTACTTTGCCACTCTCTCCGATATCCTAAAGCCGTCATCAGACAAGTTATTCATATATTTTCATATTGCTATTGTATCCTATCTAAAGATTAATATTCTTTTAGTATGTAAGTTATCCCCCTTTTCCCTATACCTTTTGAGAGTTCTACTTGCAGAACTATAAATATATATTCGTATTTTGCGTATATATAAACAGGTGTACCTATTTTCTATCCTCCTTTTAATTTTCATTTTGTGTGCTATAAAATAAACAACACCAACCACAGTAACAGGCAATCCCCCTATGATATAAAGAAGCTGCTTGTCACAATTATATAAACTCTAAAAATTTGAGAAGAAACTCATTAGTACAAAGTTCTAAGTTGTATACGTTAAGAAATTTATTTAAAATAAATTTTAGAATGTACATCTTGTTGTATTGTTTTAATATTTATTAAGTAAAATCCCTCTAGAAAAATATAAAAGTAATGTATAATTCTGAAAAAATTACAAAATAAATAAAAAAAAAAATATATAAAAACTATCTACTTCAATAGCGCCTAAAAAAAACACATCATAGTAAACCAATACCTTCTCAGCTTCGCATCGAAGCTAAAACAACTAAGTCCCGAAGAATGAAATCTTAAGTAGATTGACGTAGTTTTTGTGTATTTTAAAATCACCGAAAGAACTGTTTTAGACGGGGGGAAAATAGCTTTTTATAGTCTGAAGGGGGTAGCCCAGCGATCTCTACCGTGTTCCTGGAACCTGAGGCTTTCTAATTTAATTGGTTAATTATAATGAGGGCTCTGCGTGTAGGCGATACTTAATAATCTGTACAATAAGTAGATTTTATCCCATAATTAACTGGTTATTTTATATTTTAAATAAGAGAACACTGTTATGGTGATCTTGTATAATCATATTATGTGGCATACATGTACAAATGATAACATCATATTTATGTTAATATGATAGATAAAAATATAATATTACACTTTTTACGATCTTATTTCCTCTCACTTGTTGTTTTCGCGTAAATCCGAGATTGAACAATTTGCCTATGTTCTGTTCATGACTTCTAATATATTTTGACAAAATTTTACAACTTCTGTCGACCCGAGGATACCTTATTAGTCACCGTTCGTGACTGACAGAGGGGCTGTGGATGTGTTCTTATCCCTTTTACATAAGGAAATGAATTTAAAAAATTATTATAATTGATAAATTAAGAAAAGTTGAACTAAAAAATACCAAAAAAATATTTTCTTAACATAATTATTATTTTAAGATAAATTGAGTGACTATTAAAAAATCACTTGTATGTCGTTATCTCAATTTACCATGTATCTAGAATATTATTTATTGAACAGATAGCCTTTTTCCTTTTAGTAAACTTATTGAATTGACATTGAAAGCTAAAAAATATTTATTACTAAAACTCAAATTACTTTTTGTATGAACAAGGATTATATGTCGTACGTACTCCTGTAATATTATTATGTCAGTTATAATATTAGCATATAATATGATTTTGTTGTTTGTCACATATTATGAAGGTATAAGATCGCCAAAACAGGGTTCCTTTATTTAAAAAACAAAATTATCAGCTAATTATGGGGTAAAATCTACTTATTATACAGATTTTTAAGTAACATCTAAACGCAGTTCCCCATTTTAATTATACAATTAGAATAGAAAGCCTCAGCTTCCAAGATCACACTTTGTCTTGGTGATTATTATGCCGCATCTTTTCAAGGCTTCAGCGTCAGGATACATTGGGCCACTAAAATACCACCTTGATAAAATGTTTATATAGACATTATTTTTGAAATTCGTTCTATCCTTTCAAACTATATAAAGTAAATTGCGTAATAAACAATTAAGAAAAATTATGAAACTTTAAGGAATATTTAACATAATTTATTCAATATTACACCGAGATACTAATATTTATCCATTTCATAATTTTATCCTTTTTACACATTTAAATTATCTCTCACTATTTTTGATATTAGACTACTGACCCACTAATTATTTACTTTAATAGACCCTTTGTTTTTATTTTTGATTTATTTCAACCCCTCCCACAAATATAACTTTACAAGTTGACCTAAAATATAACAATAAAAAACTAAAAAACTAAATTAAAAAACACGAATAAGGAATAAAAATGTTTTGATAATTTAAAAATAGTAAATAGTGCTTAAATATTTTTAATTTGATCATACTCCCCCAAACTTTTTTATGTCTTTAAAATTACAATATATGTTTTTTTAAGTTCTGATTTAATGTTATATTCATTTAAATTAAAAAAATATATTTTACAAACAGTTAGGAAAAAATATAATTCTAAAATATGTCTTTCAAAGTATTTGAATATCTTTTATTCAACTAAATAGTATTTATTTACAATAAATGATTGATTATTAAATAAAACAATTTATTTAATTGGCTAGAATATCTAATAACATAATAGACATTTTTACCATTAATAACTGTTTTACAACAATCATAATTTTTAACACATCTCCCTTTATAATAGGTATGGAGGACAATCTTTCAATATTTTAACACTAATAATTAAAACTATATTAAAAATATTAATGATTAAAAACTAAAAATGTGTTTAATATAGTTTTATCTTTGAGTAATTAGCTGCAAGTAATCAATTTTTTATTATTTAGAACTAATAGATACGACTTGGCATTTTTATCGTATTGTTTAACAAATCAATGCAGTAGGAAAGGAGTATTCAAATAAAATATAGTATAAAAAAAAACTCATCACTATCAAACCAACAGAATTTTAAAAACGCATCAAAACTTAAACAAACTATTTTATTTTTATATTTATTTGAATATAATTATATAATCACAATTTGATAAGAATGGCAATTACACATAATATTACTGATTAAAGGTACTTGGTAAAATTTTTTCTATTTTCGTCCGTTTCCATCGGCTCCAATAAATCTTCATATGAATTATCAGAATTTAATCCTTAATGAAAAATCGAACTCATTAACGTAATTATTGTATTTAAAATTTCATATTTTTATTTTATATTAATACAAGGTAAATAAAAAATTTGTATTTTTTCATTTATCTAGCAATAATAGCAAAATTAAAAAAAATATTATTCATCAAGAAATGAGTCATTTTACCTTTTCCCAGAAAATCGATTAATTGAATTTCTTTATTGACTTCAGGTACATTAATCAAATTTAATAAAAATTAATTTATTATAAACAAATACGAAGGCAAATTATTTAACTAGAACTATGATGAAATCATTTATACGATTTTTAGGATTTAATACTTATGAATAAAATTATTAAAGTTATTATTATTTTGTAAATTTCATATTTCTATTATGTGTTAACACAAAGTAAATCAAAACATTAAATTTTTTAATTTCGAAATAATTGCAAAATTAAAAAAAATATTATTCATCTAGAAATGAGTCATTTTACCTTTTCCCAGAAAATCGATTAATTGAATTTCTTTATTGGCTTCAGGTACATTAACCAAATCTAATAAAAATTAATTTATTATAAACAAATACAAATGAAAATTATTTAACTCGAACTATGATGAAATCATTTTAAATGATTTCTACGATTTAATACTTATGACTAAACTTATTAAATTATTATTTTGTAAATTTCATATTTCTATTATGTGTTAATAAAAAGTAAATGAAAAAATTATTTTTTTTTATAATTTGAAATAATTGCAAAATTAAAAAAATATTTTTCATCTAGAAATGAGTAATTTTACCTTTTCCCAGAAAATCTATTAATTGCATTTCATTATTGGCTTCAGGTACATTAACCAAATCTAATAAAAATTAATTTATTATAAACAAATACAAATGAAAATTATTTAACTCGAACTATGATGAAATCATTTTAAATGATTTCTACGATTTAATACTTATGACTAAACTTATTGAATTATTATTTTGTAAATTTCATATTTCTATTATGTGTTAATAAAAAGTAAATGAAAAAATTATTTTTTTTTATAATTTGAAATAATTGCAAAATTAAAAAAATATTTTTCATCTAGAAATGAGTAATTTTACCTTTTCCCAGAAAATCTATTAATTGCATTTCATTATTGGCTTCAGGTACATTAACCAAATCTAATAAAAATTAATTTATTATAAACAAATACAAATGAAAATTATTTAACTCGAACTATGATGAAATCATTTTAAATGATTTCTACGATTTAATACTTATGACTAAACTTATTAAATTATTATTTTGTAAATTTCATATTTCTATTATGTGTTAATACAAAGTAAATGAAAAAATTAATTTTTTTATAATTCGAAATAATTGCAAAATTAAATAATAATATTCACCTAGAAATGAGTAATTTTACCTTTTCCCAGAAAATCGATTAATTGTATTTCTTTATTGGTTTGAGATACATTATTAAATTCTAAAAAAAAATTTATTTAATATGAAGAAATACAAATACTTCTATTATGAACCAAGAACATTGATACAACCATTTATGTTAAAGAATTTTTCCTTTATTAAATTAATTAAAAAACGCTTTAATGGGTTTTCTAATAAATTAAAAATAGTTAGAGTAATTAAAAATAATTTTGAGAAGTTACCAAATTTTTGGACTATTTAATAACAATGGTATTGAACTTGGAGACAGATTATTTATGAAAGACATTTTACTAGAACTACGAAGATATCATTTATAGTTTAAAATTTTTCCTTTATTAAATGAATCAGTAAGTTCTCTTGTCCAACTATTTTAAAAAATTAGATTTTCTAGAAGATTGTTATTTGAAGATCCTTTATCTAAATAATACTTAAATTATAGAAAATTTGTTGGATATAATGATATTCAATAAAAGATTCAAAATGTGTAATGAACAACAAAGAGATATTAGTTTTTAATATTAGCACAATAGTATTAAATTTATGTGGCTTATATTAAAATTAAAAATTAAAATAATACCTTTGTTTTGTGATACAATATCAATTGTTTCAGAAAATTTATTAGGTGATGTGTAAAATATAAAATTTATATTTAAAACATATGCTTTAATATTGTTTTAAATTATTTTTTATAAATAGCGTTATACTCATCTAGTAATGGTATACCATTTTAAATTAATAATAAAAAGAACTTAAATACTGAAAACCATGAAACTTGATATACAGAAATATAAAGACATTTTTATGTAATTAGAATTTTAAGCAACCATTTGTAGTAATAAAATTTACCTTTATTAAATGAATCAATAAATTCTAATATCCATCGATTTTCAAATTGATTTTTAATTCCTAGTAAAATTCAAAATATATTATGAATATCTAGTTGAATTTTAAAACTGCGCATATTTGGAGTTAAAACATTATTTAGTTTTCCTAAATTTTCTAAAAAGTTTTTTTTCCTAAGTGAGTCTAACGTTAAAAAAAAAAAATATCTAAATGATATTATGGAAATATTTGTTGCAATTATATCTGTATAAAATTTCAAATTATGTATCGGAATAAAAATAAATACTTAATAATACTACAATAATTTTAAATTTATGTAGCTTATATTAAAATTAAAATTAAAATGATACCTTTTCTTTGTGATCCACTTAGACTTGTTTCAAAAGTTATATTAGGTCTTGTGAACAATTCAAAATCTATTTTTAAAATATATGCTTTAAGATAATTTTAAATTATTTATTTTTGAATTCTTACCATAAACAGTAGACTCTTTTGGTATGGGTATTCCAATTTGTAGGAAATTTCGATCATACTGAAACCCTAGTTTATGAAATTTTTTTATAATTATGGAATTAATTAGTAAATTGACTTTTTGACTGAGATAATCATAGAACGGCATAGTTTTGTCATTATTAATTTTGTGTTTGTATTCTTCATTCCATTCATGCCATAGCCTTTCGTTACCGCATGATACAAATGTGCAATACTTATTACATTCCCATTCTGTGTCAGTATCTCTATTATTAAAAAAATATATAATATATCTTAAAAACTTTTTACAGATTGATGATTCATTTTTCATAAAAAGATTGTTTTGTAATTCTTTGATAAAGTTTTCTAAATTTAATAATAATATTTCTAAAACAAATGTATTGTTTTTCTCAACTTTCCATGATTCAGTATGCAGATAGTCTAATACATAAAGTGTTTCTTTCATTAATGTTGCTAATGATGGCACTTTTTGTATAATTTTTAATAATTCTATAGCGCAAATATATCCAGCTGATATTGGACTTCTTTTTTTAATCAAACTCTTGCAGTGTTCTCCAAATTTCACGAATATGAAAAATAGTGTTTTTAAATCACTAAGGTATGAACATGCTAAAAAAATAGTTAATAAACGAATTTGTTTGTTGCAATTAATTGGATATGCTTTTACAAGAAATTGATCTAAATAATAAGAATTATGCAAGTATTGAACACAAGTCACATCTTTTAAATCTCTCCATCCATCATTTTTAATGAGACTATTAAAAATATTAGTATTGAATTTTGAATTGAATTTTGTTTCAGTGAACAATATGATAATAAATAGTATTAAAATAGTATACAAATTTTTCATAATCAGTATTTATATTTTAAAAACTGGAATAAGTTAAGTTGCTTCTATTTTGTTTTAATGATCATAAAATTTAAAATATGTTTTTACATATGTTTTTAAATGCTTTTTTATAGAATTTATACTTTTATGTCTAATTTAAATTCATCCTTATATAAATATATTCAAAAAAACTATTGATAGAATTATAAATGTTCTTTTATAAAAATCGTTTATTATATAAAAACAATAATAATTATAAAAAACCTGAATGAATTTCTATTTAATATTTAAGTGAAATTTAATATAAACATAGAAATTGTAAAATTATAAATTTGCAAATTATTGCAGAATTTAACAGAATCACATTGAAGTGTTTTATATGGTAGTGACGTAAATCACTGTCAAATAGTAATGAACCAAAAATAATGACAATCACTATTAATAAATAAAAACAAACAATTTTAAATTAATATTCATATCACATATAGCTATACAAATTTTATTTTATTACTCATTTATTTCTTAAATTTATTTATACAATTAAATAGTTATTTAAATATAAGTGTTCAAAAAATTAAATATCGAAGAAAAAATATATTTCAATATCTTAAACATAATTATTAAAAATGATAATTTTGAGTTTCATTATCATGAATTTTGCAATTATATAATTTCAAACAACTTATAGACCACTTGATGGCAATTCTTCCATCTCCAAAAAATATATTCCAGATGCACTAAATGTAATAAAGTATATTTAATTACAAAATAATTATGATTTTATTTTTTATTTATTTAGTATACTTATATGGTACATGTTCTCCAAACGCCACGTCATTTTTTGTTAACTGTTTTGATTTTATTATACAAATATTATTCAAATCATTTTTACTGTTATCATCAATTTTCAAATATTGACATCTTTTATCAGCCACAATATTTATAATATCTGGACAAGGGCTAGCCATTATATTATCATCATTAACAGACTTAGCAAAGTATAGAAGTGCTGATCTATGAGAACAATCTAATGATTTGTCATCTATTATAAAATATAATACATAAATATCTATATAAAAAAAAAACCCAGCACAGTGGGTAGTGATGAGCAAAATTACTCTTGTTCTTGCGGTCTTGGCTTGGTCTTGCATTTCTACGAGACCAAGAACAAGACATAGACTGTAATAATATCAGAAAGACCAACATCAAGACTGTATTTAATTGACAAGAACAAGAACAAGACTAGACTTGCAAAAACAAGACCAAGACCAAGACTCAAAATGCAAGAATCTTGCAAAAACAAGAATAAAACTAGAAGAGTATTGCACTCTTGCAAAAAAAATAAAGATTGTTGTTGGTTAAGATTGTTAAGATTATTAATGACAGATTCGACAATATTAAATTTTACTTTGATTTTTATTGATTACGCGTATTGTTCAAATTAATATTACCTATGAGCTGATGTTACCGATTAACCTAAAATTTTACAATCATGTTTCAAAATTTATTGTCATTCAATTGTAATTAATTAATTTTATATAATTAAAGAATATTAAAAATAAATATTCCGTGCTTCAAACATTATGATAAAATTAGATAAAATTTTTGTTTTCTTCTAAAGCGGAGACTGAAACTGGTTTTATAAAAACTGGTTATAACAGTTTTTTTTGGTTTTGTTAATCAAAACCAATAATTTTTAAAAACTGTGTCTATGAACAGAAAGCGATTATTATTTAAAACCGGTTTTAAAAATCGATACATTAAACCGGCGACTGGTAAACTCATAAAATAAATATATCCATGTTCATTATTCAATGAAAAAAATTAATTAAAATGCAAAAAAAATTTTCCGACTAGGCGAATCGAACTCGCGTCCCCCCCGATCGCACATCCACTACGTTACCATTCGGACAACATCACGCCATCAGTTTTAAGTGAAAAAATACTTTATTTTAATAACGTCTTATTTTTTATAATTTAATTTATTTATAATTACGCAGATATAGATCGCTACAGTACGTATAGATTTACCAATAAATTTGGCAACATTGCAAAGAAATTCAAATAGTATAGCGCGCGCGATCGTACACCTAAAAAGGTACCGAAAAAATTGACCGCGCGCAATCATATTGATGATCATTGAAAAACGCAACTGCACGGTTTCAGTCTCTGTTGGAAAATTAACTGAGTAATTAAAATGGAAAAAGAATCAGAAATCATTAAAAATACTGTGAACAGTAAATTCAATGAATTTTTCGATCAGAGAATGATTAAAAATAAACTCGTGGGTGTGTGTAAATTATGCGAAAAAAACATATTAATGACAAACCGGAATACATTCGGCCTGAAAAAACATCTAATTGCGAAGCATAGGAATGAATCAGAAAGTTATTCCCCGTGTTGACGGCAGAAGTAAGTAATTTAATAATACAAAAATTTTATATTCAAATTTCTTTCATTTTATGATTTCTTTAACATTGTTAGTTAAAAAAAAAAATTTTACAATCAAAACCATTTGATAAATAGGGATACTATAAACTTAGAACAGTTAAAATTAAAAATATATTTAAATTATTACTTTACATATTTACTTTTTATAGTTTGTGAAAATACAAATTATTAAAATTTATTGTTTATATCATTACAGGGACATATAACTAAAAATTTTACTGCATATACATTCGATTGGATTACTAAGAAATATCTACCTTTCTCCTTTTTTGATGATAAAGAAACTCGTGATTACTTTCAATTTATTTCCCTAAATTTCACATTTCCCAATAGGTTTACTCTTCGACGTCAAGTTAAAGCTCGATATGAAGAACTTCGAGATCATGTTAAGGATACACTGTCAAAATGTACTTCTAATATTTCTTTCACGATTGATGGCTGGACATCTATAGCTGGTAAAACGTTCTATGGAATAACTGTGCATTTTATAGATAACGAATGGAATTATCAATCATCAGTTCTTGATTTTGTACCCTCTCACGGTCAACACACGGGAAAAGATATTGCCAGATTTTTTTACAACTGCTTAAGAAAATTTAATTTAGAAAAAAAAATAGAAGGCATAACTGTTGACAACGCGTCTGCAAACACCAAATTTATGAATGAATTGGGTAAATTAATACCTGATTTTGATGTAGAAAATCAACATTTTCATTGCATTGCGCATATATTAAATTTAGGAGTGCAAGATTTGATGAAAACCCTAGCTATACAAAATGAAAATGAAAGTGATGATGAAATGGCGGATAGCTCGAATGAAGAAGAAAATGAGCAAAGTGAAGATGTCATTATGAAAAACTGTTTAGAAGAGGTAAACAACTCAAGCACTGCGTTAATGAAACTACGTTCTATTTTTTGCAAAATCAAAAGAAGTGAAATGTTGAAAAATAGATTTAATTTGACATGTGAAATAGTAGGTGTATCCACAACCGTAAGTCCTATTTTAGATTGTCCAACTCGATGGAACTCAACTCATGATATGCTAGGGGTAACTTTGAAGTTGAAAAAGGGAATTGTTACACTATGCAACAATGTGCCAGAATTGACCGATTTTCAAATTTCAGAGGATAAATGGATAATATTTGAAAAAGTATACAAGTTTTTAATTAATTTTAGGTCATTTTAACTACAAAACTTGGTGGTGAAAAATATGTTACACTCCCTCAGGTTATTGTTTCATTTAATCTTTTACTTGATAAAGTGGAGAGCACCATAAAACAATTGGATGATAAAATCAATCGTAATTCAATAGACGAATAACTTATTGAAAGGTTTATTGCAGCAAGAGATAAAATGCTTAAACATTATAAAAAAACCAATTGGATTTATTGTGTAGTACTTATTTTAAATTCCAGACACAAAGCTGAAACTTTTGATCTGACATCGTGGGTAAAAGAGATTAAAAAAGAAAGCCTTCAAAAGTTTGAAGAGTTGTACGAAAAATATTTAAATCAAGAACCTATTGAGCCTGAATTGACAACTCGAGACAGTCAAGAATATGATTTAGATGACGAAGATATCATAGATTTCAATAAATTATACTCGTCTACGTCTATATCTACATCTCTTCAAAATTCTAGACGAGAATTAGATATTTACTTTAGCCAGCCAAGAATTGGATGTAATGAAGATATTCTCCAGTGGTGGAATCAAAATCAATGTCAATTTCCAATATTATCGAAAATGGCTCGAAATTACTTATCCATTACAGCGACATCAGTTCCTGCCGAGCGACTTTTTTCAAAGGCATCATTAGTTATACGTAAACATAGGAATAGGCTCAATTATGAATCTGCCCAGTGGCTTTTATGTATTAACTCTTGGACAGAAACAATGTCCAAAAAATAAATACTAATTTAACGTTATTTTTATAATTAATTTTTTGGTAATAGAAGTTGCTATACCATTGTTTGTTTTTTGTAACGTGGATTACCACGATGTAAATGATTAGAAATCCATTGTACACCAATTCCCTCTACATTACTATTATTATTATTAATTGTAATTATTATTATACCTATTATTATTATTTGTTATATCAAAATTTTATATTTTGTGATACTACAATAATAGACCATGTTCAATTTCATTTCTCTTTATTTAAAATATAATACAATATGTATTTATAATATTAATAAAATGAAATTGTACGTAATTTTATTTGTTTATTTTTTTTTAATACCCCAAACTATTCATAAAAAAATCATTTATATTGTTTATGCTAATATTAAGTTCTAACTTAAAAATCATATGGCATATAAACTAAATTTGAATTTACAAACTGAAGTAGGTAACTTCGTTATTTAAACCTTTTAAGTAGAAAATTTTTACAAATATAAATAAATGCAAGATTTTGCAAGAGTATTGTGACAAGACTCACAACAAGAACAAGACTAAATAAGCAAGACCAAGATCAAGACTAGACTGGCAAGACCAAGACCAAGACCAAGACTGAGTTAGCAAAGCAAGACCAAGACCAAGACTCAGCTATCAAGACCAAGACCAAGACTTTGATAGTCTTGGTCTTGTTCTTGTTTTGCTCATCACTAACAGTGGGGTCGCAGCATAGTGGAGACGTTGCATAGTTGGATCCAGTATAGATTTAATCTGACAGTGATTAAAATCACTATCATAAGAAACGCTTCGATGCAAATCTGTATATAGTGTTTAATTTTAAAAAATTGATGGATAATTACAAAAGCAACATCATAAACTTCTATTTCCTTAATTATACCCAGATTAGTAATTCTTTTAACTATATATTATATAATATTTAAAATTAATTGTTTTCAAATTATTATTGATTTTGATTTTTAATATGTTAAAAGTAATCACTTTGAACCTACTTTTTACTGTCTTTTAAATTGAAAGTTTTAATAAAAAATGAATTTATTACTATAATATTTAGCTCAACTTGCAAGTTTGAAATTGACATTATTAAATAGAAAAAAATGAAATTGTTAAGATTAATATGCAATCAGGGAATTTTATCATTACTATATACAGTACATTTATCAGAAAAATTCGATTTTTTTACATTTTTATCGTAATGGGTCACTTAAATAAAAATCATAGTAATCATTTTTAATTAACTTTTGGCATTTAAAAAGATTCTACAATGGAAATATTCAGAATTTAATAAATTTTAATGATTATATATTTAAAAAAACCAATAAAAAAAGTTGTTAAAAAGATTTACTCAATTGAGCGTATTATAAAATTTGACTATAATTGTCAAAGTCTATCGTTAAATTCAGGTAAAACTAAAAATCATTTTTTTTTTTAATTTATGATTTATATAGCAACATGTTACAAAAAAATTTGGAATATTATAGACTAGTATTAGCACACACAAATAGCTTTAAAAATTAATAAATTACAAAGTAAAATTATTTACTTTTGTAGTTGAATACTTTTATCATATCAAATCTAATTCGACAATGAATACTTTAAGAATATTAGAAATGAATGTTTTTAATTGTTTGTATGGAAAAAGCTGGTTAAGCTACTTTTTATTTGAATAAGGAATATTTTTTCGATTTTTAATTTTTCAGAAAGTTATGGCAGTTTAAGTATTAAAATATTTCATGTTAAACAGTGATTTTTACATAAAAAATTCGATAGCCATTTCCTCATAGAAAAAATGGTGGCGAGACAAATTTTATTTAGCTTCTATGCGAAGCTGAGAAGGTATTAATTTTACTATAATGTATTTTTTTTTGTGTCTGTTACCACTTTTTCTCAGCTCTCACCGAACCGATTTCTTTCAATGATACGTCAAAAGATCACAAATCGTACCTAGTCGAAGACATTACCCTCAAAAATTGAAAAAATTTCCCTAGTTCCCCGTAAATGGGGGAAATATCCAATAAAATTACAAATTTAAAAATCGCTAATTTTCTTCATTTTTTCAATTTTTTTTTTCTAAAAACTGCCATAACTTTGTTAAAAATGAACAAATCAATATAATTTTTTTTTTATAGATGCTTGATGTCATTACCTATCATTTGGTATATTTTTTTTATAAATTTAACCCTTTACCAGCCCATAGGAGGGGATTCAAAATGATGATTCAACTTTTTCACAAAAAATTTACTTTTACACTTAACTTTTGAAAGTGATCTGGAAAGTCTGACATTTTTATATATATCTTATATGATTGTCATATCGGTGAAACTTATGTCATTAATGCTTACGAGGTGAGAGCCTGCCTGTCAGAGTGAATAATTTTGATTAAGTTTTAAGTTAGAAAAGAATTGTACTAATTATTTTATTTTTATCTCATTTAGATTGTATAACTTCAATAAATATAATGGTTCCCATCACCATAGTCTCTCCTCGTGAATAGGATTTTTTTATTTATGTTAATATTATTTTGTTATGTAGTTTTTTTTGGGGGCTGTCATTTATTTTCTCAGCTCTCACTTGATCTACTTTATTCAACAATACGTCAAATGATTATAATTCGTATTTAGTTTAAGATTTTAACCTAAAAAATTGAAAAAAAAAGTCTAGTTTATCAATTAAACAGTTACTTAGCCCATGTTCTCTATACAGACAATTAATATCATTCATTTATAATATTTTAAAAGTATTTAGTCCCGAATTAGGTTTGATATGATAATAGGTTTCAACTATAAAATTAAATAATTTTTCAGTGTATTTTATAGATTTTTTAACTCTATTTGTATAAATAATTTCCAAAAAAAATTATTTATAGTTTCATCTGAGTTTAACAATGGATTTTTACAATTATAATCAAACTAAATAATATACTCAATTGTGTCTATATTTTTAACAGCTTTTTGATTGGTTTCTATTATTAAAGTAAGTCATTAAAATGAATTAAATTCTGAATATTTCAATTAAAGAATCTCTTTAATCACCAAAAGTTACATAGAAATGATTAATGTGATTTCTATTTAAGTGATCTATTACCATATAAAGCAAAAAATATTGAGCTTTACTCATAAACTTACTATAAACTGTAATTATAAAATTTCCTAATTGCATATTAATCCTAACAATACCATTTTTTCAATTCTCATAAAATTTTCTATTTAAAGCATCTGGGTACCGATGTCAAACCGATAGTCAAAAATAACGCGTTAATTTCAAACTTTCAATTTGAGCTAAAAGTCATGGTAATAAATTTTAGCTTTTTTTAGATGTTAATACTCGTTTTTATAATACTAATTATTAATTATATCAAATATTAGTGGTGATAGATAAAATCTAATGGCAAATTTGAAATCAGCGCAGAAAATTTGTTTAGAAGAGAATATTTTGGCTTTGATGAAAATTCTTTGTAGAACATTTATTCATAATTAAACTCAAATTAAAAATTTTGTATCGTGCCCTTCAATATTTAATCTCATGTGTCATAAAAGTAACAACTACTTTATAGTTTTTTTTATAAGTTCTTCGTAAAAATTACAATACTAAATTATTATATATTTATGTCATTATTAAATTGAATTGCTATAATAGATATTTATTTATATATTATACTTATAAATTTAATAAATAAAAATGAAAAGTATAAGGTATGCGGGTAATAAGGAAAAAGATAAGACAGTTGCTAGTGGTTGTTATAAAGAAAGTAAGAGTGGCTAGAGGCATTGGGCAGTGACTATAATAGAATGAAATAGACAGAGATCTCGGGGTATGTATGTCTTTATAAACGCATCTGATATACAGGGTGGCCCACCACTCACTGACAACTTAAATAACTTTTGATCCAGTTAATATTTTTAGCTGATTTTTTTTTAAATAATAGTTATACGTTAGGTCTATAGTTATATCTCAATAATTAATTTTTTTACATTTTATTAAAAATATTAATTATTTTTAAATTTTAAATAAAATGTAAAAAAAAAATCTAAGATAGCTATTTTGTAGAGTAGAATTTAAGAAAAATTTTAGTAAAAAAATATCTTATTAATATTGAGTAGTAAATATTCTGTAGCGTTTTGAAGTTTGTGAAAATTTGAATTTTCATGTATTATTTTACGGTATTAAACATTGAAATACGTATTGAGAAAAGGACAGAAGAAAACGCTATCTTTTCATGATTACTGTGTATACATATGATGATAATGTGTATACATTACAAACTTGGCATTAATACCATGATAAGAAATTAGATAAGGCAATTATTACTTATCACTCTCATTCAAAAGTATATTGAAAAGATAGCGTTTTCTTCTGTCCTTTTCTAAATACGTATTTCAATGTTTAATACCGTAAAATAATACATGAAAATTCAAATTTTCACAAACTTCAAAACGCTACAGAATATTTACTATAGAATATTAATAAGATATTTTTTTACTAAAATTTTTCTTAAATTTTACTCTACAAAATAGCTATCTTAGATTTTTTTTTTACTTTTTATTTAAAATTTAAAAATAATTAATATTTTTAATAAAATGTAAAAAGATTAATTATTGAGATTTAGCTATAACGTATAACTATTATTTAAAAAAAAAATCAGCTAAAAATATTAACTGGATCAAAAGTTATTTAAGTTGTTAGTGAGTGGTGGGCCACCCTGTATATGAGTAAGATGAAAGATTACTCAAGATGTATGAAAGATTACTATTTAGTCGCTGCATAAAAATTTATACACGAATTTCTGTTAATTTACGAATATTATACTTCTTTATACAATTAATCTACTTCATTTGTTTTCGACAACCTTTGTCACTCTAATTGTTTATTATTAAAAATCCTTCGATGAAGGGTTCATTATAAATTTGTTATTTAAATAAATGTTTTCACTTACCTCTAATTATCCTGATAAGACAGATATTCTGTTGAGATGAATCATGTAGTTGATGTCACTATTGTCGATGTGTATGTATATGGGTCGGTTTACGCTTTTGAAATTATAAGATTTATGTTTTTATTAACTCGTGTGTAACTATTTCTCTAGTATAACTCTATATTAAATCTACTTAAGGTGAAACTTAAATTTATTATACCTCTGGTATTTTATGTAAAACCCTTTAGTATATTTATGTGATATACTGTTTAACTTTGTGTGTGGTGTTTTACACTAATATATTTATAATTTAATAATTTATAAAACCAATAAAGAAATTCTAAACAACATAACTGTCCTGAGTAATGAACTAATTCCAAGAGGCCTACGTCTTTTCTGTCGTCCATATAGTGATCTAGGGTAGATGCAAGCTCAGTTTCAATTCTTTACACAATAGATTATACTAGTTTCCTACACTCCAATGGCCTGTACTGTGGCTCAGATCAGTCTATCTGGTCGACAAGTGGAGAGACACTTTCTAATTGCTTAGGTGATTGGTATAATATTTCGACTCTGATTTATTTGTATTTTGTAGCTGTTTCTACCAACATGAAACCTCAAATATCTTTATCTTTATGCAAAGACCCTTATGATATGTGGCCTACTTTTTTTAAGTCACCTGAAGGACGTCCTAGGTTAGGTGCGACTGTACTATAGATTTATGCACAATAAGTTATGTTAGTGTCCTACACTCTGTTGACCCTCACTGTGGCTGAGATCAGACTGGCTAGTCAACTAGTAAAGACACACTTCAGAGAACGCTTATGATTAGTTGAAATCTTGATTATGATATTATTGTGATAGTACTCTGTCCAGCCAGGTTGTGGTGCTTCAATAAGTAATAGACACAATACAATCTAATCATGTATTTTTTGAAGTGTGTATATATATTAAAAATTAAATAAATACTAATATTTTATGTATTGGAATATTTGTATCACCAAAAGTATTCACCAAAAATAAGATTTATAATATTCGTTTTAAATCCTAGCGATTAGAAATGAAATATAAAAACAGTGTAGATTTGATATAGAATTGTAACCAAGAGCGAACCATACACTCACGCAAATTCCATTTGTGTATGTTGATTGAGAACTCCAGAGAGACACGTAATCGTAGTTGTTTGAAAGTGAGAGTGAGCGCTGGAGAGCCCAAGAGCATCGTCGTCATTGGAGAGCTTAAGGGAAAGCATTGGAAAACGCGCGAATTTGGGTAAAAATGGCCTTTTTATAGCCCGCAAAACTGGTTTAGCGATCTCTGGTGAGATTCTATAAATACATATTTTTTGTTGTATTTGATTGGTTAATGTGATAAAATCTTTTACGTGAGCGTTTTATGGAATGCGTACGAGGGTGGTTGAATCTTGTGTAAGGNTAAATACTAATATTTTATGTATTGGAATATTTGTATCACCAAAAGTATTCACCAAGTATTATTTTTTTTATCTTATCCACGGGGAACACTGATTTGGTGATATGTTTTTATTAAACATATGTATCATTTACTACATGTATTAAAATATGATACTACATAAATCATAGAACTGCTAATTAGAAATAATGAAGGAAATAGGAGTTAATTTTATTTTTGGAGTAATTCACCAATTTTTTAAAATTAAACACTATCTACAGATTTGCATTATAGCGTTTCTTATGATTGTAATTTTAATCATTGTCAGATATCATAAGCTGTCCCAACTATGCCGCGACCTCATTGTACTACCGTTTTTTACTATGCTATGATGTATTTCATATTAAATAAATAGTTGTCTTATAATTAAAATTATATTTTTGACTTACAAGACCTATCCTTGACACATCCAGGTTGTATAACGGCATTGTTTATATAAAAATCTATAGTCCCCAATGGATTGGTGAATCCTTTATGGCCAATATTTGTGTGATATACATCAACAAAATTAGCACATTGATTAGTAATTTTTGGACTCAATTTAAATAATGGCTCGGCCGGGTCTAATGCTGATTACATAAAAATAAACGTAAATAATAAAATAATCAAAAAAATCATAACTACCGAAAAAAAAATTTCGTACCAGTTATTCTATAGATTTTATTTCCATTTTTTTTAAATAAATTACCCATTTCACCACAGATGTGACTTCCTAAACTATGACCAACACAATGTACTTTTTTAATCTCGGATCGTGTATTTAATATTATTTCAATAATATTGGCTATTGCTTTGGATATTATTGGTAAGTCACAATATACAGCTTGTAAATATTCGATTCCATAAGTCACTATATTTGATGAAGAAACTTGACCAGTAACTTTTGAATAATCTACCATTATCACATTTCGTTCAACCGTTCCATTTAAATAGGCTAAAAATTTAAAGCTAGGGTTAATAATCTAAATGGTTAATGATGACATTTTGGATTGATTTAAAATATTTATTACTATGCTTTTATAATATTGAGGTAAATTTTAAAATATAGTTAATAACTTTCTACCTCTACGCACTGCAATTATATTGCGCATTTGACTACTGGATCCAAATCCATGAACAACAACATTAAGTGTATCAGAGCCATTAGTAAATGGAGCATTTTTAATTGATTCTATATCTGGCTTAATAGCAATATTTTCAATATTTCTAAACAAAATTTTTATGAAAACTATTAATTAAATAGTTTTTAAGTATCATAATATCAACATTAAAAATTTATTTAAATTTTTAAATTTATATGTATAAATTATATAATAATTAAACTATTAATGTAATTTTGTACCACGAGGCTATAATATAATTATTACAAACATTTTGTTTTAGTAGACAATTTACATGCTAATGTTTATTTTTATTTTTAGTACTTTGTGTACTTATTGTTATATATTAGTAATTTAATTACTGGTAATGTATACTTTATTACCCTATTGAGCGTTAAATTAAATTAACAATATTTTACAATTTATGTGTTCATCTCTTTATATTTTTTAGTTATGATTAAGCAATTTATTTTAACTATAGATTTAAAATAAACCAATTAAACAGGCTAAAATTCAAATTACCACATAAATTGCAGTTACATGTACAGAAATTTAAATAGTTATTTTAAGTAAATCCACATAGAAATTCGTAATTACTTATTTTTCTCTTAAATTTAACTTGGTCAAATAATATTTATGATTTTGGATATAATTATATTAAGAATCATAATTGTAACCGCACATATTTAATTATTAAAATTATTTATTTATTTTAGTAATTTTTTGTGTTTTTGTGGGTCTTCTAAAATGTACCTATTATCAATAATTTTCATACATAACCAATACTTTACTTTGTATATAAGTAGAAATACACTGAATCACTGTTTGGTGTAACAAATGAACAAAATTGTTTCAATGGATTGAATGAAGAAACAATATTATTTATTGACAGCAAAATAGTTGATAATTTAAAAATAATATTAATCATATTTCTTATAAAACCTTCCAATAGTCTTTTCTCAATGGCGAATGAATTTTAAGAATTTGATAATCAAACTAAAAAACACTAATTGTAATATATTAAAAATTACAAGAAAAATTATTTTTAAATATTCTAAATTAAAAAAACTAAAAATATCTCTGAAATTGATAAAATTAAAATAAATATACAATTAAAAAAATTGACTTTACCACTATCTTTATGGAATTTCACAATTAATTTCAATCAACTTGATACGTTCGTTTAATCTGTTTTACTGTTGGAAAATCTGTTTTTTATTAATGATGAAAATAAAAAATGAGTGAGTAAATTTCAAATCACATTTGTTTGTTGAGTATTAATTTTAGTCGGATAACTGATCTCAAATAATCATTATTTGTATATAATTTATATGGTGAAACACTTGTTTCAAATGTTTTTTTTATTTTGACGTAGTGAAAATATTTCAATGTATACTTGATTAAATCCTTTGAAATAACCAAATAATGGATTAATGTACGCCAATTTCTCAATTGTTATTTTTGCCTAATAGAGAAGAGTCGTAAAAACACCGTGAGGAGTAAATCTGTTACATTTCTCTATGTAACTATAAACCGTTGACATAAATCATAAAATCAGTGAACTGAAAAAAAAAGTTTAGTTGTCTTTTAAATAATTTTAGCAACTCTATTAATAGTAAGCTAATGATAGCTTATTAAATGCTAAAATTCTTTACTTATTATAAAATATTGTTTTCCTAAAATATGAATATCTAGGTGAGGAACATGGGATACCACGCCACCTCGCCCAATCTCTAAAACAAGACCATAACTCTGTACGAAAGATGATAAAATTCTTCAAGGCTACCGAATTATTTGACTTAATATAATATCTTATGTTTGTAACTTATGTGCTAGTGATAAACTCACTTAGTTAACCTAATTTAATTAGCTATTTTATTGTGATATATACTTGAAATACACGTAATCACGACAATGGCCTCTGACGTCTTTATTTTAATAATAATAAATGTATAATGTATATATATTGCATAATGCAAAAATCACAACAGCTTAAAATTAAATGTTGTTACCTACTTTATGAAAATGTCGACATCAAAAATTTTGAAATTGTTCTCAAACTTACTTTGAAAGTTACTTGTTATGCAAGTACATTACATACAAAACACGAATGTACTAGTTTGAAGTTTATTTTTGAATGACCAATTTTCTTATAGATGAAACAGTTTAATACAGATTTAGTAATAAATAATTACATACAAATATTAACGTTGTTTTCTAGAAAACTTAAAATTCCGTTATGATAATAACTGTATGTTAATGAAAACAAGCCTAAAAGAACACCTCCTTGATTTAAAACACCTTCATGATTATCGATAGAAGGTTATTAAATATCATTGATTTGACATATTTTATGATAAATTTAAAAAATTTTAATGATATTATTAAATGTAAAAATAACTATTATGTTAAATTATTTATGTTTACGCACATTTATTTAAAACTTAACTGTAATATAAAAGTGTTAGCATAACAATGTTGTATTATACATTTTTTATAACATAAGAGACAATGCATTAGCTAATTTCATAGCTTAAATTATGAACATTTAAACCGTCTCTGTATACATAATGTATGAATTAAATGCAATGATTAAAATAATAAAAATAAAGTAATTTCAACACTTAAATGTCATACCAATTACATAAACAAATTATATAAAATGTTTTTAGTACAATAATATAGTTTTAAAATATAAATGTAAAAACTGCCATAAATGCCATAAACAATATGGTATAGTTGAGATAAGTATAGCTGATATCTTACAATGATTAAAATCACTATCATAAGAAACGCTTCGATGTAAATCTGTAGTTAGTGTTTAATTTTAAGAAATTGGTAGATTATTCCAAAAGCAAAATTAACTTCTTTTTTTCGGTCGATTTGGGCGTTCAATAGCACATAAAAGATAAGTAGTAAGGACAAATTTTTTTTATTTATAGTACGTAACATACGCTTTAATTTAACATGTGTTTAAAGGACGCAATATTTATTTTATTATTTATATTATATTGTCGAACTAACAAAGGGCAGTTGTGTTTGAGTGGCCGTTATAGACATAATTTTCAATATTATTACTTTCGTCTTATTTATATTATTTATAACTTTACTTGTTTTATTCAACGACCCGTCTATCGCCAATTGTCATCATAGCCAACCAACTCCGTCTCACTTGGATATACCTACTAACCAACTGTACTAGGATTCAGGTCAGACGTATTGTACATTACATATAACTTATATTTACTGAACATCTAAATATAACCTTACTTTGTCGTTGACATAAAACAATAGTCTAATTTTATTTAATAATCTATCCCCTGTAACTAAGGTACACGATTGCCTGTGTCTCCTTCAGGCAATTAAAACTCATTTAAGGAGATAGGGACGATATTTGGGCAGACGTCGGGTAGCTTCCGATTCTTGGTTTTGACCAAGATCCTCAACTATTAAACAAACCCCTAACATGACGTATCGTTGAAAGAATTCGGTCTGATGAGAGAAAAAGTGGCGACGGAAATAAAAAAAAATAAAAATACATCATAGTAAAATAAATACTCTCTCGGCATAGCATCGAGCCTTTCAATTATCTATTGAATAATACATAATAATATAAAACATTTAAAATAAGAACCCCAATCGATGATCTCTTAGCACTACAACAGCATATTTGAATTGAAATAAAAGTTTATGTTAATAGATAATTGTTTTATAAATTAATGAAAAATCATGAAGATTATCTGTTTTTATCATTTTAAAAAGATTAAACATTAATACATTATATGTAGAAATATAGTTCATCTGTATCTTTATACATGTAATCTATATAAATAATTCGTCAAGTATAAATTTATTTTACTTTTTTAACAAAAATAAATTATAATAGTTAAATTAAAAATGATAGAATCTAATAATTTGGTATTTAGTTAAAGTTGTGATAATGTAATTGTGTCATGAGTAGTAATTTATACATCAATCTAACGATGGGATTTCCAACATTGATAAAAAGTATACACCCGATGTCCTGGAAATATATAAATTATTAATTTAAAATATAAATTCAACAATATTGATTATTACTTTCGTGAAACGTGCTCTCCAAAAATTTCGTTATTTTTAAACATATTGAATATATTTAAGACAGAAAGTTTTGATTTTTGTAAACAAGTATTGCTCAAATCATTATTATTATTATCATCAATTTTAAATAATACTTTGGTGTTTTTTTCAACTATTTCCTTTATATCATTACACTGACTTGACTTAATTTTGTCGTCATTGATAGATTTAGCAAAATATAAGAGAGCTGCTCCATGAGAACATTCCAAAGATTCTTTTTCTGTTTCACAAATAAAAAGAAATAATTTAAATTATGATACAACTATTAGTAATAAATTTTCTTTGTGGGAATGTGTAAATTTGCCATTGCGAAAAGCTTTGTAAAACTAAATTACTTTGTGAGGAAACCAAAAAATAGAAATTTTCACCTAGAATTTGACCCCTTAAAATTTTTCCTTCAGTGGGTTAACTCTGTAAACGAGTTTAATTAACAAATTTATAATATAAAATATATATTTGTTTATTTAAATAAAATTTCAATTAATAATATTCAGACAGGAAAACGTGTTAGTAATATTAATAACATACCATAATAAGTAAAACCGTTTTCAATTTTATTAAATATAATTTATGAATATAGCTATAAATAAACATTAAACAATAATTGGTAAAATTGAATAATTGAAATAATAAAAACAATATATTTGTCCCCTGAAATTTGTTTATGAAATAACTTTTCCTACACAAAAACTTGCAAATATAAAAAACTAATATATACATTTTTAGCTCACTAGATTTATTGTTAACACAGCCTGGTTGAATAACTCCATTGTTTACGTAAAAGTCTACAGTACCAATTGGTTTGGTAAACCCTTTATCAGCAATATTTGTGTGGTAGACATCTACAAAATTTGCACTTTGAGCAGAGATTCTAGAACTTAACTTGAAAAACGGTTCAGCTGGATCCAGTGCTAAGTCAATAATAAATAATTACTCTCAAATCAATAAATTATTATTAATTAATATTAATAAAATTATCAAACCTGATATTCTATCAATTTTATTGCCCTTTTCTTGAATCATGTTGCCTACTTCACCGCTTATTTGACCACCCAAGCTATGACCAATTAAATGTATTTTTTTTATGTCTGATCTGGAACTTAATATTGTGTTTATTATATTAACGACAGCTTTAGATACAATTGATGAATGACATTTGGCAGCGTGTATGTAATCTATTCCGTAATCAATTATGTTTGAATCAGATACGTTACCAATAATTTTAGAATAATCAACCATCAATACATTTCGATCGACAGTTCCGTTTAAATAGGCTGAAAGTTTAAAATTACTATATCTAAATTTATTTATTCAATTTATTTATAATGCTTATGAATTTTTATGTATAGAAATATTATAAGAGTTTAGTATGTTATAGAAAGAAGGCAATAAGTTTTCTTAGCCTCGTTTAAATCAAGACAATTAAATAGATTTGATTTTATTTTGTACCTTTGCGCAATATATCTATGTTCGGCACTTGGTGACTGGAACCAAATCCATGAATGATAATTTTAAGAGAATCAGAGCGATCGGTAAATGGAGCTTTTTTAATTGATTCGACATCCGTTTTTATTTCTACGTTTTTAATTTTCCTAAAATTTATTTAATCGTCTTTTTAATAAAAATAGGCATATCATTTTAACGACAATACTCATTCTAAACATTTATTATTTTTCAAATTGAGTATCCATCAATGTATTACATATATTAATAATAAATTGCAATATTTTAAAATAATTAAAACTATAATCAAATTTTATAATACTTTACTTTGTATTTAAAAAGAATAACACAGGTTCAGAATTTGATGTTACTATAGAACAAATCACATCTTTTGGATTGAATGACAATGCTACATTATTATTTATAAGCAACAACAGAGCTGATAATTTAATAATTATAAACATTTTTTTTTTCAACAATTTTTTGGCGTTTATATTATTAATAAAACACTATAAAACAGAATAAGGATAAAAAAAACTACAAAAAAATAGTTGAATACCTAAAAAAATTTCCTTTAAACTTTAACGGTTGAATTGTTCGTAATTTTTTATATCTTCTTTTTACGTTAGACTAAAAAATAAAAATCTATTTGTTAATGTTTAAATATTAACTTCACTTAATAGTCAATTTTAAAAACTCACAAAACGTAATGACCGATAATAAGTTAAGCAATTACTTAAAAATTATAAAAACGTGTCGATTGTTACAACTCATTTTTCATCATAACCTTATTAGAATCGCATGTTGTTTGTTTACAGTTACTCGATCAAAGTTCAATTGACCTTGAGACAGTTGTAATAAACTGATTGCGCCTAAATTTGTTTCTACCTTTTTTTTTTATATTTCACATTTAGATATAGATTTCAAATGCAGTGATAAAAATAGAACTGTGATCTTGATTCCTTTCATATTTTAATCAATTATTATAATGAAAAATTGTTAACTTATTTTTTACAAGTAAACATAAGTGTTCTTGTATGTTATATAATTCATATACTAATTTAATACATTTTAGTTTTGACGTAAAGCTGAGGTAAATTTAGGTTTCTTCCAAGCTAAATAATCAAATGATTAATTGACTTAATACCTCTTAATAAAACTATTATTGCTTTAGATGGTTTAACAAATGAATATATACAGTTCCAAAAATTTCGCATAAAATAAATAATTTAATGAAGAGATATTAAGAGAAGATAATCTTCAAATTTTTCTTGATTTGTAAAATTAATTGTATTTTTTTTCTGCTATTTATACAGTGGAATTTTCTTTATCGTGAACCACTCTATAACATGCAAAATAAATATAACATTTAAAAAAAGTTTCGTTTTTTTTAGTTATACAAATTTTTTTATATATCAGTTATTATTTATTTTTTTAAATTATTCCTTAATTAACTTACAGGGGTGTCACCTTTATTTTTCTTTGTAGAAACAAACATATTTCTAAATTTCTGTTTATAAAATAATACAGAAAATATCTAAATACACAAAAAAATATGTGGAACGTTAATTCGAGTAACTTGATACATTGGTAGTTAATATAAATATTTAGTTTTTATAAAAAACAGCTTTGTATTGAAAATAAAAGTATCTTAATGTTTGTATCATTGAATAAAAAAAAATTTTAGTTGGTAAAAGTTTATTTGATCATTCTAACGATGTAATGACCCTTACATAATACATGACAAATAAATATTACGAATTAAAATTCTCAGAAAATGAATTACATTATTTAAAAAAATAATATTCAAAATTCAAATTTTAATATTGCTGTTTACGCTGCAATATTAATGTTTGCTTCTTAATCACTTGAGGGAATTTCGGACATAGATAAAAAGTATGTTCCTGTTACACTGCAAAAATAACAATAATTTATTATATATTAGTTGTTAAAATAAAATGACTGATTCCGACTGATAAATTTTAATTATAGTTTCTTACTCTCTAGATACGTGTTCACCAAAGACTACACCAGTTTCTACTCTTGCTTTTCTTTGACATGTGCTACTCAAATTGTTATCGCTAAAATCGTCAATTTTTTTTAAAATTAAATAACTTTTAGTAATGATATCTTTTATATCATTACATTGAGTAGTTATTATTTCGTTATCATTTATAGATTTAGCAAAATAGTAAGGTGCTGATCCGTGTGAACAGCTCAAAATTTCGTCTTCTGTAAATTTAAACAAGATAAGTACATATAATTTAATAACAAATAACAATAAATGTGATATATTATATTCAACCTACCGTTTTTGTAATGTATGCAACCAGGTTGCTTATAGGCGTTATTAATATAATAATCTACAGTCCCTAAAGTTGTGGTATATCCTTTATTAGCAATATTTGTGTGGTAGACATCGACGAAACCTGCGCTTTGAGGACTTAGTTTTGGACCTAATTTAAATAATGGTTCAGCTGGATCCAAAGCTAGAATAAAAATGTTATTACTGTAGAAATAATTATTATTTAATTGAAAATGAGAATTTCAAACCAGATATTCTATCGATTATTTTCCCTTTTTTTTGCATTAAAGTACCGACTTCTCCACTTATTTGACCTCCTAAACTGTGGCCAATTAAATGTATTTTTTTTATTCCTGGTATTGTATTTAATGTCATTTCAGCCATATTAGCTATTGCTTTAGCTGCTACTGGCAAAGCACATCTTACAGCTTTTACATAATCAATCTGATATTCAACCATAACTGCATCGGACACATTACCTATAGTTGGAGAGTAATCTACCATCAACACATTTCGATCGATAGTTCCATTTAAATATGCTGAAAGTTTAACACTAATTTAAACAATTTTCCGTATAAAAACTTTTTTTAAGTAGTAGCATTGATAATACAATATAATTTTTAACATTATCGATATTTCAACATAATTTATAATAGTTTAGAGTTGTAAAATAATATTGTTATTTTTGTTGTACCATTACGCAAAACTTCAATATTTTTTTCTTGCGGATTTGATCCAAATCCGTGAATAACAATCTTAAGAGTGTCAGAACGATCGGTGAAAGGAGCATTTTTAATTGAATCAGCATCTGCTTTAATTTCAAAATGTTTGATATTCCTGAAATAATTGTAGTTAAATTTATTTTAGCAATTTTATTTTGCAAGAAATTAATGAACCTATAAAATACCAAAGATGTGAAGCTAAAAATATATTTGAACTAAAGCTGATAACTTTTTAATCTAATTTGTATCTTATATTTAAAAAAAAAGTATAAAGAGTCAAGATTTTTTTAAATTTTTGATCTTAAACAAAAATTTTTATACACGGAAAATAAAAATGTTCATAATTGATTCATAAACATATTATTTAAGTCAGGGACTAGAACCTTAATAAAATAATAAGGAGTGTTCCAATTCAGATTCTTGCAAAATTTAATTGTGGTGTTAAAAAAATTAGGTTGCTTATGGTTTTTTAAAAATATAGTTGCTATCTTAAAAAAAGAATACACCTCAGGTAGTGAGGATGAAAAAATTAAGTATTTTAAAAAACTAGTACAGAAGAGATATGGCATAGTTAGGACAAGTATAAATATCTGACGATAATTAATAACAATTTCATAAGACATTTAAATGAGAATCAATTTAATTTAAATTAACTTTTCATTTTGAAAACATTATCTTAAAATTAACATAAAACTTTTTTCAAAAAAATGCCCCAAAGAATATAATGTGTATGTATCAGTGATTACATATGAATGTGATAGTGCTAAATTCACAATAGAATTTAAATTTTGATACAGTGTATTATAGTCAATGTAATCATCAGTGGTTTTAAAGAGTAAATATAAATGTTATAGTAACCCTTATAATTGATTAATCAATGATATAATTATTATACCATTGATAAATTGTTCGATACTATTGTTTTCTTATAAGAAAACAAATAAGGCCAAAACACGAGCCTTATTTAACTAGCTTATAAAATAAAAATGATTTAATTAAGACAACAATTAGTTAACAACCTTTGGACAAATTTTATCATTCTCAGTCGTAACACTTCTCCTGCCTTAGTATAAAAATATTAATTAATTTCGAAGTATTGGTCTAAAAGTTGTTATCAACCAGCCATTTTATTAATTAGGTCATTTTTTATTAAAAACATTTAAAAATATGTGAAGGACATTTGAAAAAATCAAGTTAACACACCTTATAAGGTACAAAAGATAAATTAAAAAAGGAATTAATAACTGATCCATCAAAAACTATATTTAATTATAAATACCATAAAAAATTTTCTTAACATAGTTTTAATATTTAAGAAAAATTGAGGACAAACGATAAAAAAATCACTTGTATGTATTTAGAAATTCGCATTATACATAGTTTTCAGTAGTTAAGGAAACAGGTCAATTGTTATAAACAATGAGAACAATAGAAATCCGTTTCTTTAATTATTGAACACCCTAAATAATAGTAGTTGGAGATAATAGTTAATGTTACAAATCGCCTTCAAAAATGTAATCCTTATCATATTTGGTTATTTAAATGACATTTATCACCACTAGACTAATTTTAAATATCTTTAAAAATTAATAACTTATACTAAAATTTATAATTTTTTAATGAAATTCAATATAATTAAAATGATTGGAACCGAAATCTTACTTTTATTAGGTTTTGTTTTTTACGGGTTCTGGTTTTTTGGTTCGATTCTAGTTGTTGAATTAGATAAAATACTTAAACTCAATAAATTTAAATTAGATTAAAAATAAATGTGCTTCTTATATTAAAGTTTGGTTACAAAAATAATTTTTAATTTTATGACCATAATAAAATAAATTATTTATAAAATTTAAAGATTAGTATTGTTATACTTTACTTTGTATTTAGATAAAAAGTTACTGGTCCTTTTTTTGAGTTCGGGCTGACAACAGAACAGATTACATTTCTAGGGCTCAATGAAAAAGCCGCATTGCTCAATAACAGTAACAGAGCAGATGTTTTTAAAATAACAAAAAACATATTTATTTTTCAACTTAATTTTCAAAATTTTTGTTGGACACGAATTTCTGAAGTTGAAATGTTTGACTAGTGTAACAAAATTAAAAAAAAATTCAACTGAATAAGAAATCACATTCATAAATTTACTAGTAGATAAGTATTGGCATTTGATATTGGTTAAACATTGAACTTCTTAACAAAAATATTTTTTATATCTAATTAAGGAAATTTCAAGACGTGTCATTGATAAAAAGCTATCAATATTTATCTAATATACAGAAACAAATAACTTAATATTTATTTTCTCATAATATAACGAAAATCATTGACAGTTCTAAAATATAAAAAAAAAATAGTATTAAAATAATTTTTAAAACTAGATTTATTAATTTTGTAAAAATAACAATTTTAACTTAAGCTGTACAAAATTATAGTAACCAAAGTTTTAAAATACTTTTTATGTGTAATTTTGTATGTATTTTGTATACATAGGTTTATAGCTGAAAAGGTATTGGTTTTTCTATGTCTCATTTTTTTAGCTTCGATGCGAAGCTGAGAAGGTATTGGTTTTACTAATATGTGTTTATTTTATTTTTTTTTTTTATGTCTGTTACCACTTTTACTCACCTCTCACCGAACGGATTTCTTTTACGATACGTCAAAAGATCACAAATCGTATCTAGTCGAAGACATTACCCTTCAAAATTGAAAAAATTTCCCTCGTTCCCCGTAAATGGGGGAAACCTCCAAAAAAATTACAAATTTAAAAATCGCTAATTTTCGAAATTTCTTAAATTTCTTTTACTAAATACTGTCGTAACTTTTTCAAAAATGAACATATCAATATATATATATTTTTTTTTTATAGATACTTGATGTAATTACCTATCATTTGGTATATTTTTTTTTGTAAATTTGACCCTTTATCTGCCCACAGGGAGGGATTTAAAATGACAATTTTTTCACAAAAAATTTACTTTTTCAACTTAACTTTTGAAAATGTTCCGGAAAGTCTGACACTTTTAAATATATCTTAAATTAAAGCTAATGTGATATACTTTAATTTAAAAAAATAAAAATTGACCTCTTAACTTGTCTTTATGGTCAAAATGGCTAACGAATGCTATTTTTGTGTAAATTTTCTCGATTTTATATTTTACATTTTTTACTTTAAAATGCTATAACTTTTTAAAAAATGTATGGATCAATACAATTTTTCATAAGAATTAGTATTTAAATACATCTTTCATTTGACATACTTTTTTTTAAATCGGACCATTTCCCTATATACGAGGGGGGTTCAAATCTAAAAAATGCATGTAGAAAGTAGAACTTTTTCAACTTAAATTTTGAAAGTGTTCCGGAAAGTCTGACACTTTTATATATATCTTAAATTAAAGCTAATGTAATATACTTTAATTTGAAAAAAAAAAATTTGACCTCTGGACTTGTCTTCACGGCGAAAATGGCTACCGAATGCTATTTTCGTGTGAAAATTCTCGATTTTATTATTTATATAATATTTAACTTTATAATGCTATATCTTATTGAAAAGTTTATGGATCCACACAATTTTTTTATGAGAAATAATATTTTTTAATAAACCCTTTTTCATTCGACATACTTTATCTTAATCGAGATATTAATAAGGAACCAGCAGATCAAGTAGCTTTTGGAATAAAACACCAATTTTTTTTAAATTAAACACTATCTAAAGATTTGCATGGAAGCGTTTATTTTTGATAGTGATTTTAATCACTGTCAGATATCATTATACTTGATCCAACTATGCCACGTCACCACTGTGCCGCGACCCCCCTGTGCTGGGTTTTTTTTTTTTTGTGTCTGTGAATTTGAATATAAACTGATTAATATAGTTTTATATTCAATAATATATCAGAAGATCGAAAATTGTATCTAACTGAAATTATTATCGCTCTATTCTGGAAAAATTCCATTCAATCGCCGTTATAAAAAAAATTGTCCCTAAAAAATATAACTGTTATAAAACAGTTACATTAGATTTTTACATTATAAGTTTTCAATTTATATTAAAATATCTCTTTAAAACTTGATAGATTATTAAAAATATTTTATTCCGAAATTCCAGACATTTATCTCGCTAATGACATACATATCTTGAAATTTCAAACAATAAATAAAATAATGAAAGGGAGAGAGGGGTTCAAAACACTATATTCATATTTTTTTCTTTTTAATTTTCAATAATATTCCCAAAAAACTGCATCCTTTAATTTCATGTCAAATTAAAACTAACACATATAATGTACATGTAATATAAATAAAATATTAACATCTTATTTTTAATTAAACGTCTTAACTTTTTATCTAATTAAATATTAAAGCAATGTATAAGAACATTTTAATCAGCATCTTTTTTTGGTATTATCTACAATTAATGTTCACGTAAAAGCTAAAGCAAATTTCACAATTTTTTTTATATCGATAAATTGTATTCAAATTAATCCAATAATATTTAACTATAATTACTTGTTATATATTAAAAATATATTTTTGTATTACCTATACTAAAAAAATTTAATTAAAATAAACCTTGAAAAAGCAGCCACATCAAAAAATAATAATATAAGTTGATCGGTTATAAAATATTTTAATGTTACGATACATTAAATTTTAATGAAGTCGTATTACAAGTATTTTTGTTTGCTTGATCTTAAAATCCGTTATTTAATATGTATGCATAATTGTTTGTATGAGGATTCAAATTTTAAAGTTTAAAATATTAGATAACCGTGTTAAAAGTTCGGTCAAATATAAAAAAAACATAATAAAATATATAATATAAATAAACATCTCAGTTTCATATAATTTCTATGCTCTTCTTTTAATATTATCAATTCTTACTTTAAACACAGAGTAAATCTTATAAATTACTTATAATAATAGTGATGTGCAAGAAATATATTAAACTATTTTGGATGTTGAGTTTATAGAAGTTTTATTATAATTGAAATTAATGTTTATGACTGTATTACTTATGGCCTTATATAGTGTATTAATTTTTAGTTACTGAATTCTGTTATTTCACTGTGTTAACATGTACACATTAAATGCATCATATTTTGAAGAAAAGTATAAGCTTCATTTAATAACTGTCAACATCGTCATCACTGCTGCGTGACCTATCTGTCCTGTTTCAAATTCGGTATATTATTTATGAACCCAAAGAGAACATTGAAATAGAATTATCACATATGAGAGCTCGAACAAAATAGAATATGACAGCTGGTAAATGGAGAGTCTACTGAATAGTATATAGCAAAGTACTGGCATAGGTAAAGTAAATTATTTTTTGAAAAAACCTCTTAGCCACCTATCACCATAACATAAACTATCAATTAACTCGCGAGACACAACATTTCAACTACCGGTAATTAGTTATGATAAAATAAAATAACACTATCTGAATGCGAGTTTGTTAAATTAGAGTCCCGTTTTATTTAATTACATAATTGCAAAGATACACGATTCATATTTATTTGAGATAAGATTTTTTTTTANAACATTTTTTCAGTTATCATAAAAATTTCTATTTAATGATGTCAATTTCAAACTTGCAAGTTAAACTAAAAGTTACAATAACAAATTCAACTTTTTTTTACTATAAACCTCACAAAAATCAACTTTAAAGAATTAAAAAAATAGGTTAAATATGTCATTTTCATTATTTTTAACATATTAAAAATCAAAATAAGAAATAATTTCAAAAAAAAATTTTTTATATGTAATTAATCATTTTTTATTAAATAGTAATAATAAAATACCCAGCACAGGGGGGTCGCGGCACAGTGGTGACGTGGCATAGTTGGATCAAGCATAATGATATCTGACAGTGATTAAAATCACTATCAAAAATAAACGCTTCGATGCAAATCTTTAGATAGTGTTTAATTTAATAAAAATTGGTGTTTTATTCCAAAAGCTACTTGATCTGCTGGTTCCTTATTAATATCTCGATTAAGATAAAGTATGTCGAATGAAAAAGGGTTTATTAAAAAATATTATTTCTCATAAAAAAATTGTGTGGATCCATAAACTTTTCAATAAAATATAGCATTATAAAGTTAAATATTATATAAATAATAAAATCAAGAATTTTCACACGAAAATAGCATTCGGTAGCCATTTTCGCCGTGAAGAGTCCAAAGGTCAATTTTTTTTTTTCAAATTAAAGTATATTACATTAGCTTTAATTTAAGATATATATAAAAGTGTCAGACCTTCCGGAACATTTTCAAAAGTTAAGTTGAAAAAGTTAATTTTTTGTGAAAAAGTTGTCATTTTAAATCCCCCCCTGTGGGCAGGTTAAGTGTCAGATTTACAAAAAAAATATACCAAATGATAAGTAAAGACATCAAGCATCTATATAAAAAAAAATTATATTGATATGTTCATTTTTGAAAAAGTTAGAGCATTATTAAGTTAAAAATATAAAAAAAAATTATTTTACAAAAATCGTAATTTTTTATTAACTTTGATGTCAACTTTCACCACGAAGACAAGTCCAGAGGTCAAATTTTTTTTTTTCAAATTAAAGTATATTACATTAGCTTTAATTTAAGATATATATAAAAGTGTCAGACCTTCCGGAACACTTTCAAAAGTTAAGTTGAAAAAGTTCTACTTTCTATATGCATTTTTTATATTTGAAGCCCCCCCATATATAGGGAAATAGTTTGATTTAAAAAAAAAGTATATCCAATGAAAGATGTATATAAATACTACTTCTCATGAAAAAATTGTATTGATCTATACATTTTTTAAAAAGTTATAGCACTTTAAAGTAAAAAACCCAGCACAGTGGGGTGA